TGCCTTCACAGAGCATGACAAATGGAGATCATGGTCAAGTGTATGCCAACAGGGAAATCACTCTAGCTTTAATGAAGAGCTGGTGTTTTGATGCATAGTTAGGTTTCTTGAGGGAGCCAATGAAAAAGTAACCAGAAATAACCTGTATCTAGAAAACTGAAACAAAAAACCCCAGCAATTACTTGAGAGGTTTAGAAAAACCATTTCTTTTTATGGGATGCTGTCTGGAAAAAGAATAGCCTGTGCCTAATTTTCTCAGAAGTGGCAAAATATTTTCCTCTTTTGGAAGGGTATAAAAGAAGACAAAGAGGCCAAGTCTATATGACACAAATGAAGCGGAATTTGGGTAAAAATGGTATCCATGTAGGAGTCTGCCAATTTAGCTAACTTGGGCCTTTTAAAATCTCATTTATGCAAATAAACCTAATCTTCCCCTCACTTTGTGCGATTTAGACATATGTACAATTTTGTGAGAGCTCTAATGATGTAGTCATCTGGAGGGGAAGAGAGTCTCATAGTTTTGTAGCTCAAATGACTTCTCTAACCCTCACACATGGGAAGCACAGGAGAACCCAGAGGTAACCTCCTGCAGCAGGAAATGGGAGCTTCATCCTGCTCCCCTTGCCAACCTCCTGTCTGGGTTTCCTCCCAGCAGTTATCTCCATTCCAATCTCCCCTGCCACTTTGACTCTCTCTCACTGTCATAGTGCAACTGTACTGAGAAAACTGCATTAATTAGGCTTTGACAGAGGGAGCTTGGCCCAGTCATTAATAGGACTGCATAAGAAAAGAGCAAAATAAAACAATTTTTCTAAACCAAGCAAACAATAGAGATACTTTTTAGTATAAGATTTTATATATATACACATATCCTTTTTGTTTACTCAGCCAGAGTATAGACAAGATAATTACTTGGCTAAATCAATAAAACCTAGGGTGGCCCAGAATATCTAGTTCTAAATGATTAGTCAGTACAAGGCATGAGAAGTAAGGGTGTAGAAATATACTGCATAATTGTGTCAGTTCTCCCCTGTACATGGGTTCATTATTGAGAATCAATTTCAGTTTCAGAGGAGACTTTAATTCCTTGTAAATGAGTAGGAAGTTAGTAAGTAAATGCTTGGTGTTTTCCTCAAATTATCTCTCATAATATAAGAAAACAGTGGCAAAAAGCCATCAACAGATGGTGTTTTTATTAGCCAAAGATTTATTTTTCAAAGCATTTTCATATTAATGAAGTCAGGTTGAAATTAGAGGCATCTTGTCAGTTGTGATTGTCTGTTGTAAAAATGTGCTAGTATTCTGAAAATTGCTAGGGGGAAGGAGCAAAATAGCCGTTTGCCATAATTTTGTGATGGTAACCCAAGGTCCATAGTCTAATCCAGTGATGGCGAACCTTTTGAGCTCGGTGTGTCAGCATTTTGAAAAACCCTTACTTAACTCTGGTGCCGTGTCACATACAGAAGTTTTTTGATATTTGCAACCATAGTAAAACAAAGACTTATATTTTTGATATTTATTTTATATATTTAAATGCCATTTAACAAAGGAAAATCAACCAAAAAAATGAGTTCACATGTCACCTCTGATACGCGTGTCATAGGTTCGCCATCACTGGTCTAATTAGACCCCAAATTATGTGCTCAGCCCTAATTTTTGTTTTCAGTGGCTTTACAGAAGCTATGAGTCTCAGTTCTGGGCCATAAATGAGGAACACCCAGCAGGGATCTTAGTCCTGCTCTGCACTATGAATTATTTATAAGATATCAGTTTCATAACAAGTGTTGCAACAGGTTGCATGGACTCGTTAGAAAACATTCTCCCCATGGCATCCTATGTTTGAATGGAAACATATTGCAGTTTGAAACACAGATTTCTAATATAGCTGTTCTGTGTTCATCAGTCTACATTATGTTTACCTAATATGTCAAGATAGCCATTTGTAATATATTGGGTTTCCATTGATCTAGGAATCTGGACCACTCTGCTAGAGATAATCACAAATTGATCAGGTCCATTACTAATGCCCACTCTCTAACTTAAGCTGGACCTTTTCTTCAAACTACAGCTCTGTCGTATTCATCTTACAATCAAAATTTTTAAGAGGAGCCCAGATTTGGAGCCTCCACGTTATCACTACCTCCATACTTAATCTGGTACAGTTTGGCATCTACTTCCAAAAGCCTATTAAAACTAATTTTTCAAAGGTCACCAGTGACCTCTAATTACCAAATCCAGCTGCCTTTCTTGCACGCTCTGCATATATGATAGTGACAAATCCTTTACTGAAATGTGTTTTTCTCAATTATCACATTAGTTTGGCCCAGACCTGCATTCCCAACTGCCTTGAACACTGAAGCTTTCTCCTAACCAGTGTCCCTGTCCCAGGCTTTTCTGTTTCAGTTTGCCCCACATGTTGCTTGTAACTTGATCTCATAACTACAGCCCTGATTATATCATTATCTTACTCAGAAGCCTCTGGAAAGTCCCCACTGCTTCAAAAATAGGTACAAACTCCTCACCTAGACATTTAAGACCTTCATAACAGAGCCTTGATTTCCATTTCCAGTCTTGCTTCCCCTGCTCACTACTCTCTTGTACCCTCTGTTCTAGCCAAACTCAAAGCCTCTTCCCTGAACATGTCCTATATTTTATTCCATTTTAGTTTTGTTCATGTTGTTCCTAGTGCCTGGAACACCCTGCCACCCTCCATTTCTGTCTATTAAAATCCTACTTATCCTTCAAGACTCATCTTAATCTCACTTCTTCTTTATCTCTGAAGTCACTGCACCTTGACAGAGTAGATGTTCAATACCTTTTGTGGTATTAAATCTCTGAACTGTTGTTTCTTTTTTTTCCTCTGACATCTACTTAGCTTAAAGATCATGCCCAAATCAATGATTGCGGCCCTTCTTTTTTCCTTCTTCCCTCTCTGCCATTGCTAAGGAGAAGGCCACAGTTGAAATGGTCATGGAGTTAAAGAAGACCAGGGGAGACACTGTGCCCAAACCACAAAAAATGGAATAAATTGTGAAAAATAACTTCCATTGGAACAAAGCCAAAGAAACCAAGAGAGATCTGGCAAAACGGGAAGCAAAAATTAAGATGGTTTTCATAATCCAGTTTGAGAACAAGCAAATTCAAACTGCCTATCCTAGAAATACACATATCCATAGGAACACATCTTTTAGAATAGATTCATTGGACAGTGCCAAGGTTACTAAGCAGCAACAGCGTTTTAGTAGCAAGGGGCCAAGTAGATGAGTCCTCTTCCCCTTCCCCATTTCTCCTACTGAAAACATGAACTTTGAACAACTACAAACTATAAAAACTGTAGAGATAGCAACGAAGCAACATGGCCAAGGGAAAAAATGATAATAGTGTAAGGGCCAGGAAGTTGGGGTATTACATTTGGAACAGACTTTGTGAGGGCGTTGGGATGGTGAGTCAGAGAGGAGTGGATATTAGGGCAGGTCCCGGGGTAAAGCAGCCACCAGAGCTGAAGACGGGAATGAGAAGGAATAAAAAGTTCATTATCAATCTAGCAGGGGTCCTCAAACTTTTTAAACAGGGGGCCAGTTCACTGTCCCTCAGACCGTTGGAGGGCCAGACTATAGTTTAAAAAAAAACTATGAACAAATTCCTATGCACACTGCACATATCTTATTTTGAAGTAAAAAAACAAAACGGGAACAAATACAATATTTGTATTTGCATGTGGCCCGTGGGCCGCAGTTTGAGGACCCCTGATCTAGAGTAAATAAAATTTTATTTTCTTACATAAGGAATGGGAGAAAGTAGCTTGCTCAACTGAAAATATGCTAAGAGTTCTGAGTACTTTTGAACTATGTTATATTAAACGGATTTGCAAAGTACTTCTAATGTATACCTTAAAAGTATCTATATAGTAGTAAGCAGTGATAAGCAATGGATGTCCTATCTTGATACAGTCAGGCTTTGCTTTTTGAAGTCTGGCATCTCCATGGGCTCTTCCTTAGTGCCAAAGAAGTGAAACTGAGATATGATGCTATATTTTGAGTAATCCCACACTTAAAATACCATATTTATTTTTCTGAAGGAATCTACTGATAAATATAAAATGTTACCAACAACAACAACAAAAACACACACAAATCATGGGATTCTGGAGCAAAGCCATGACTGAATGCTAGAAACCTGAGTTACAGCCCTAGCTTTGCCATATACTAATTATATGACTGTGCAAAATACTTTACCCCACTCTGAAGCTCAGTTTTCTCATCTGTAAAATGTTGACATCTCCTACTTCATGGGTTGTTATGATCATTCAATGATACATATGAAAATGTCTAGTATAGTGTCTGGCAAGTAGTAATCATTCAATAAATTATAGTTTTCTTAGTCTACTCATCTGTAAAAGAGATAATAATACATGTTCTCCCTATATTACAGGTATACTATGAGGGCAAAGTGAAATATTGACTATGAAATACTTTTAAAAGTTAAAAATATTACAGAAAACATAAAGCTGTTTTAATGTCATTAAAGTCCTATATCTACAAAGTCATGAATGTCAGCTTTTCCCCAATAATGATAGTGGATCAAATGTATAGTATTATTAAGTACTTAGAAGAGTGCTTAACCCATAGCAAGTGCTCATTGAATCTTTGCAATAGTGTATTTGCCGCCTAGCTGGTGTGGCGCAGTGGTTGAGTGTTGGCCCATGCACCAAGAGGTTGCAGGTTCCATTCCTGGTCAGGGCACATGCCTGGAGTTGCGGCCCTGATCCCTGGTGGGAGGCGTTCAGGAGACAACTGATTAATGATGTTTCTTTCTATCTCCCTCTCCCATCCTTCTCTCTCTCTCTAAAATCAATACAAACATTTTTAAAAAAGGGAATATTGTATTTGCTGACTGACTGACTGATCTCCATATGGTATTGGTTCTCAAGCTCATTGAATGTTTGTTCTTTTCCCCCCCTCTTACCCTTTTCCCTCTTGCTTCACACTCTGCGATGATAGCAAACTCTAGAGATGAACCTCACCAACCTGGTTAAGCGTAACAGCGAACTAGAAAATCAAATGGCCAAGCTAATACAGATCTGCCAGCAGGTTGAGGTACGTAACAGAAATATTTGTGATTTCTTCAGAGGACCTGTATTGATTCTTTTTTTTGGGGGGGAGGGGGGACTTGAATTATTCATTTGTTTGTTTGTTTGCTTATTTATTTATTTGCTTAAACCCTTCACCTTTTTCACCCAGCCTCACAACCTCCCTCCCCTGTGACAGCTGTCAGTCTGTTCCCTGTACCTATGAGTCTGTTTCTATATTGTTTGTTAGTTTATTTTGTTCATTAGGTTCTACATAAAAGTATACATCATATGGTATTTGTCTTTCTCTGACTGGATTATTTTACTTAGCATAATACTCTCCAGGTCCATCCATGTTGTTGCAAAAGGTAAGATTTCCTTTTTTATGGCTAAATAGTATTCCATTGTGTAAATGTACCACAGCTTTTTAATCCACTCATCTACTGGTGGCAGTTGGGCTGCTATCAAATCTTGGCTATTGTAAATAACACTGCAGTGAACATAGGACTGCATATATTCTTTTGGATTAGTGTTTTGGGTTTCTTCGGATATATTTCCAGAGTGGAATTCCTGGGGGCTTGAGTTTTGTCAGACTGCAGATCAGCCATTTGGACTGAAGGACTGACTGGCAGTTCTAGGAAGTCTCATTTCTTTAGGATGCTTGTGTTCTCAGAAAAGTGGCAGATAACTATTGTTTAAAAATATAGGTATGAAGTGGTGATGAGTTGTGGAGACAACAATCCAAGGGACAGTCCCTTCTCCTTTCCAAACAGGCAATATGAGAATCCAACATGAAGTGTGTTTCTTCCTTCATCAAACTAGACATTATAGTTCCTTGAAGAGATTGCTGTAGTGCCATGGGAAAGTTGGAAGTCTGGGTCATCAGAGTAGGGTGAGGCTCATTCAGTGCCATATTGTTTTCATAACAATATTATCAGGACTGCTACTCTTCCTAGCCTCTTCTCCCTTTGTCCCCATGCTCCTTACCTGGTCCACACTCACCACTTTTCCACTTATTCTTGTCATCAACAAATGATATCTATGTTAAAGTTGTCCGTGAGTTTTAAAGTGTTACACAAGTATAGGGTTTTTGGAAATGGTTACCTACATGAAATCTCAGAGCACAGCTTATGAGAGGAGTCAACCTCTTCTTAAGTGGATGCAATAAAAGAAAGAAGTTAGTCCTGACCAGTTTGGCTTAGTGGATGGAGCACTGGGCTATGGACTGAAAAGTCCCGGGTTCGATTCTGGTCGAGGTCATGTACCTTGGTTGCAGGCTCGATCCCCAGTAGGGGGCATGCAGGAGGCAGCTGATTGATGTTTCTAACTCTATATCCCTCTCCCTTCCTCTCTGCAAAAAGTCAATAAAATACATTTAAAAAAAAGAAAGATGTTATTTCTCTCTCTCAAGAATGTGAAACTTTAGCTGTAACACTTGGTTTTCTTTTTTTAATTTCTCATTTTCCCTTTTTATTACTCTTGCATGTTTTTTTAAAATTTTGTTTTCTGTAGCTTTTGTTAAAGAGGCAGTAGAAGTGCTTAAAGTGTAAACAGTGGGTAAAATATTATAGGACTCCTCATGGGCAGTGATTGGATAAAAATGTTTCTAATTCTATGTACAACTTGATAGTCTAGTTCTAATCTTAACTGTATGACAAATAAATGTAATGGTTCAAGTTTATTTTACTTTCAATAATATAATAATTTTACTGTGATCTCATATCTTAAACCCACCTAGCCATTCCTATTTAAGAGAAGGTAGATAATTTTGTAAGGAAAATGATCTTCTTTTATGAGTAACCACTCATGATTTTTTGGATTTCTTAAAATATTGGGTTTCTTTTTTAAAACTTTTTTGTTGAATTTATTGAGGTGACATTGTTAATTAAATGACATAGGTTTCAGGTATACAATTCTATAAAACATCATCTGTATATTGTGTTGTGTGTTCACCACCCAAAGCCAAGTCTTTATCCATCATTTATCTCATCTATACCCTCTTCTACCTGCTCCCATCCCTCTTTCCCCCAACCCCATTCCTCTGGTAATCACCACACTGTTGTCTGTATCTATGAGATTTTTTGTTGTTATTTTGTTTTTGCTTAATCCCTTTACATTTTTCATTAAGATCCACAACCCCACTCTCTTCTGACAGCTGTCAGTCTGTTCTCTATGAGTCTGTATCTATTTTTTGTTTTAGTTTATTTTGTTCATTACATTCTACATATGAGTGAAATCATATGGTATTTGTCTTTCTCTGACTCGCTTATTTCACTTAGCATAATGCTCTCTCGGTCTAGCCATGCTTTTGCAAAGGGTAATATTTCCTTGTTTCTTATGGACAAGTAGTATTCCATTGCATAAATGTACTGCTGCTTTTTTTTATTCACTCATCTAATGATGGGCATTTGGGCTGCTCCCAAATCTTGGCAATTTTAAATAATGCTGCATTGAACATAGAACTGCATTTGTTCTTTCAAATTAGTGTTTCAGGTTTCTTCAGATATATTACCAGAAGTGCAAGTGCTGGATCTTAAGGCAGTTCTATTTTTAATCTTTTGAGGTAGTTCCATACTGCTTTCCACAGTAGCTGCACCAATCTTCGTTCCTACCAATAGTACCCAAGGCTTCCAACTTACCATCTGGTCAGCAGTGGTTGTTTTCGGTTTTTTATTCTGTTCTGTTTTTGTAGTAGCCATCCTTATGGGTGTGAGGTGATATTGTGGGCTCAATTTGCATGTCCCCCATGATTGGTGATGTTGGACATCTTTTCATATGTTCATTAGCCATTTGACTCCTGTTTTAATATGATTATTGGCCATCTGTATGTCCTCTTTAAAGAAGTGTCTATTCAGGTCCTTTGCCTGTTTTTAATTAGATTGTGTTTTTTATTTTGGGGGGTTTTTTTGGTGTTGAGTTTTATAACTTCTTTATAACTTTCGAATGTATGGGTGAATAAGTTCTTTCATTCAGTGGGTTGACTTTTCATTTTGTGAATGGTTTCATGTGCTGTGCAAAAACTATTTAGTTTGATGTAGTCCCATATGTTTATTTTTTTCTTTTGGTTCTTTTGCTTGAGGCAATATATCAGAAAAATATTACCACGAGAAATGTACGATATTTTACTGTCTGTTTTCTCCTAGTATTTTTATGGTTTCAAGTCTAACATTTAAGCCTTTAATTTTCTTTCTTTTTAAAGTCTTTATCTGCTTTTGGAATTAGGATGTTTCAGGTTTCTTCAGATATATTACCAGAAGTGCAAGTGCTGGATCTTAAGGCAGTTCTATTTTTAATCTTTTGAGGTAGT